ACACAGGACACACAAACATAGGCGCGCATGCGAACCAAGGCTACGGTAGTCGTTCTGCGTGTGTGTCTGTCTGTCAGCAGCTATTCTCGCGAGCGAGGCGGCCGTGAGCGATACCGACGTCTCAGAACTACGCGATCCTGAAAGCATTTTCCTGAACTACTGCGCTCGAGAGTATGCCGTGGAAACACGCGAAAAGCAATAGGCACGGGGCTTCCCTACCGCGACCTGATCCGTCTCGCTCTGTGTACCTGGGTGGCTTCAGTGAAGTCACACAACGTATAGCATCTATCGACTCCGCATGCTATCTACTACTGCTACTGGCAACTAGCCCGTGTCAGACTCTCCGCCAGAGCCTACTACCACGAGCATTAGCAGTAGCAGCGCATGCGCATTCGTGTTCGCCGAGGGGTGCACTTTCATTCACCTGCACTCAGATTATTTTGTATAGCTTTAATTACATGCTGCATTGGCTATGCAGAGGTATCTGACTGACTACTATGTCTAGTAGTAACATGTATGCATGGCACATCGTACCTATTTTGGAGCTCGAACTGACTGCAACTGATATACCTTTTCTACTCTGCTCTTATCCATGTGAGTTGCGAGAGTGTTAATTCATCTATTACATTAGGTCCGATAAAAGCAAATCAGTTCTTACGTGATATCTGTGACATTGTTCCGAATTACTAGGCTAGCCGATCATCCTGAACTGTGTCTCGGAATGAACTCGAGCGCGCTGGAACACCAAAGGTGAAGGTGAAGTGTATTAGAGTGAACGAGTGGCTGATCACCTTAAAAGCATTCCCGTGAGTCTCCTAGCTACATTTCTAAAAGCAAAAAGTGTAGCTACATCGACACTAGATCTATAAGCAGTGAGACACCTCTATGCCATTCATATACACAAAATGGTAAAATTTCGAACTATGATCATGGCTGAGATAGCATACATTGATTTTCAGACACTTGATTATGAAAAGGAAGAGAATAACATGTGAAACATAACATTATATACTATTATTTTTTAATATCTACATCACAGCCTAATATACATTAGAGAAACTACAACTTTCTAACACACCGTTTAACTAAGTATCCACTAGCTACATGCTAACATTCAGGAGCTACCAGAGAGAACTGCAAAAATGTGAGAGTAATTAGCATGCCGTAATTGTAAAAACATGTTGAAATTACCACCGTTGTTGCTCTTTGCCCATTACAGTTGATGGCTTCTACAGTTACAGTTTCTATTTCTTCTTCTGATAAAAACCCCTCATAAAATGGATCACCTGGATAGTGTTTAGATTACACTAAAGAGCACCTAAAAACTGGTGCAAAATATCAGAATCAACCCTGTTTTTTAGCTATATACATTAGAGCGTCATCGGGGAATCTCACTTGATCCTCTTCAAAATGAAGGGGGATATAGGGAAGGCTCAAAGCACAAAAAGGAAAGAATGAAAAGCACTAAAGTTGAAAACCCCCGGCGGATAAACTAGCGAGTTGTAGCATCGCTGTATGCTGGGACCGTGCGTCATCGACGGAGCCAGTAAACACGAGTTCACCGTAACACAGGTAGTTGCATTAGCGGTTAGAGCAATAGACTGCAGGCTGTTTCAGAGGCTCTCTATTTGCTTTATTCAATCTATCTGCCTTCTGTGTTTCAATGCTCTCGACAGACGTTTTTATAGATGGGAAGGCAAGGCCGCAACCACAAACTGCTCGCCACCTGAACTATTATGCTACATTGCGAACATACCTTGCTCAGCATGTTTATCGTTTATCATGGAACAGAGATCAAGAAACTGACAGAGCCGTGGACTCGTATCTACACCAACGTGGACGTAGCGCATGCTCGCCGATTAAATGACGATGTGACGCTAACTGATGGGCTGGGCTATGAGTATGCTGTTTAATCGTGGCATCCACGTTAGTGGGTTCGGAGAGTCTGATACAGGCTCAGCAAAACCTCAAATTAAAATAAGTACTGGTCACCTTAAGGTAAAACTAGTATATATATACAGTCTTCAAAAACCTGGTCCAAAGAAGTGAGGATAGACCTTTTCTCTCGGACCAGTGAAACGAGAAATAGGTATCAATTTCTCCCATTGCATTTAACGTTTCAGAAGTTGAATACCTTCATATCTATTGGAAAGAAAGGCATGTGTTTTACTTGCCATAGAGTCAATAATTTTTCAAGTCTCACAGTCCAGTCTCAGTACCATCAGTACCAGCTATCCGGATGGTACTATCAGTGTAGTTGACCGACTCGTTTAGGAGTACAATTCTACTAATGAATTCAAAGTCTCCTCCTGCTTGCCTCTTCTTGCGATGCCAAAGATTGTGCTGCAATGACAATAGAAAATGCGGTAGAAAACATTTGCACATGCACATTACCAGAAGGAATAGAGTGAGAATTATACAAGTACATAACTGGGTCTTCAAATTCTGCTCAGAACAGCCAGTTTTGTTATAAGCTGCATAGATTTTTGTGTAAATACACTGTCTTCAGTCATCAATTATTCTGACGCCTAAATTCAGTCTTCCACAAATGTCTATAAACTCACAAAATTTGCAACATCTTCCTTCATCTCTCAGGCCTGAAGGATATTCAGGGAAGATATCCTGGTAGGTGAGCCAGAGTAAGTGTCCATCTCCTTCTTCCACGACCTTCATCTGGGGCTAACAAACAATCATACAGACACCTCTAGTCTGTTGCAATTCAGCAGCAGCTAACACAGAATCTTTGACCAACAATCCTTTCCTCAAAGACTAGCTATACATCAGCTTAAACCAGACTTAAGCATTTGTGTATTAGTGTATGGGTGTTATCTTGGAACACTGGATGTTGCAGACACTGTAGCTACACATGTAACGACAGATATCCAATGGAGTGTTTACTGCATAGCCAATTGCTACCTAGGTCTTATTGGCAACCGAATACCGTTGCAGCACTGCAGTGGGATCTGCTTGTAATTGGCACTAAACATGATTCCAAACATGAAAACCAGAATTGAACTGCTCCCTCCATTGACGACAATGCACGGGTTAATTATACTGTTCCAAGTACCTAACGAAATACCACAGTCACACATGCTAGCCATGGAGCATTACTGTTATCTTGTGGGTGCAGTTCCCCACCACCACTATCAGCAGTACACACGGAGGAGTTAAAATCCATTGGTGTTAAACAACCTGTGGAGATATTTAGTCATTGGTTATAGATACTATTCCCACTCTAATAATGTTGTGTATTGTATCTATGATGGCATACAAACAGTCACCTCTTCGATCCCTATCTTCCTCTCTAAAGCAGATGACATGTATCTCAAAGCCACCAAATTTCTTTTCTTCACTTGTGCGGAAGATAACAGTGAAACTCCCTGACTCCAGCTCTGACATGGCGCCATTTGAAGAGTTGCCACATATCTCAGTAGGTCCGGACGTGCCACGATCAATTAGGATGTAGTCCTGACACCTGCGGAGTGAGAGTTTCTTTGGACGCCATAGGTAAAACGCTCTGCCATTAATGCAAACCTGACTGCTAGAAAAGCTAGAAACCTAGTGGTAGCTACGAACGGCCCGGAATTATTCACATATTGTTGGCGAGCGGGAGCGAGCCAACCTAGTCGTACGTTCGAGCGGATTTTTCTATATATGATATGTCGTTGGTACGTCGTGTAAGCGCGAATGCGCGGCTTCTTACGTGCTTCTTTTTATCAAACACATTTCACACACACACGCTGCCTCGCGATATGCGCCGATCGATCTAGCCAGCCAGAGAATTCCCCTCCCTGCGATGCAACCTTTGGTGACTGACCAAGGCTGTATATACCTCTTCCCAATCTACATGGTTCGAAGGTGCAACTTCAAAGTAAGCTAGGATTGCTCGTGCAGATACTGCTGCATGCCAGCTGCCTGGTGGACCACGACTTGAAAGCATAAGGTAAGTACCGTTCTGCTCACCGTTCTGCCAATATACTAGACAGATCTACCTGTCGCCGTTACATGCGTATCGAGCTGAACGGCGACAGGTAGATCTGTACTGCTTCACGAAAGGAAAGCTCTGCGCTGACGGCACGTTATGCAGCCTGAACACTGCGGCCAAATCCCGAGTTGGGTCGCTCCTGCTCGCCAACAATGTTGAACATTTCCACTAGTATATATCTACGACCGTACGTCGTCCAATTGCGCATGCTCCAGGACTATGCGCTTGTTTTTATCTCAACGTCTTACATGCGGCCTGCCCTGTCATAATGTCGTGTAGGTCGTGCAGGCGGTGAATAAGCGTGTGTGTAGCTCTGTACTCTCGCACTAATGGATCAGTCCAGAGAAGATGCCCTTCGTCGTCGAAGAGAGAGGGAAAGAGAACGTTGTGCCCGTGAGACTCCTGAGCAGAGAGAGGCTCGTCTGTAGTATCAGCGTCGCTTTGCTAACCGTTCTGCCAATGTACAGTACGCGTGTAACGGCGACAGGTGGATCTGTCTTGCTTGAAAGCTGTGCGCTGACGGCGTTAGCAGCCCGAATATCGCGGGAAAATCCCAAATTGGGTCGCTCCCGCTCGCCAACAATGTTTAACATTTCCACTAGTACTGGAAATGTGAAACATTGTTGTGCGAGCGGAGCGACCCAACTTGGATTTGCCCGCGATGTTCGGGCTGCATAACGTGCAGTCAGCGCACATCTTTCCTTTCGTGAAGCAAGACAGATCTACATGTCGCTGCTACATGCGTATTGCACATGGGCAGAACGGTGAGCAGGTGAACAGAACGGTACTTACCTTACTCTTTCGGCTCGTCAGTCGTGGTCCACCAGGCAGCTGGCATGCAGCCGTATAGTGCACGGGCAATCCTAGCGTATTTGCAAGTTGCACCTTGGAACCATGAAGATTGGGAAGAGGTACAGCCTCGGTCAGTCACCGAAGGTTGCAGCGCATGCCGTCAAATGGAGGAGAGTTCTCTGGCTACATCGATCGGCGCATATCGCGAGGCACACGTGTGTGAAAATGTGTAAAGAATTTGGAAATAAAAAAGAAGCGCGTACAAAGCCGCGCATGCGCAATTACACGACGTACGACGTATATTATAATAATAATAATAATTTTAACGACCACTAAAGAGCCAGGGTGGCTCACTGGTCACCTACTATTGTGCATGATGAAAGAATGATAAATAAATGAGGATACGGAGTGGTTCACTTGCAGGTGTGTATGGCTCAGTAAAAATACTAGTAGGCGAATGCATGGCATTTTTGGCGAGCGGAAGCGCGCTTACAATTGGGGTCTAATCGTATGAGTCACTCTTGTGTGTGCACAAAACAGTGAGATACATTGCACAGGACCAAGTAGGCCGAAACGACCCGAGCGAAGTAGACAATTCGAGTCGAGTCAAAAACAGTCAGTCGACAGCGCGAATCAGGCATAATCCGGCAATCTGATTGGTCTTGCAGGAATAGGGAACAAGTGGCAATGTAGAAAAATCTCTCGCTGGACTGTGCAGCAATACTCGATAGCGTCGGCGTGTTGCGTTTTCCCTCTGATTCCGCTCGATATCAGGCACGCATATGAAATGGTTGTGTGAAATCCCTTTCGGATAAAAAGAAGCGCGTAATACTGGAGCAGGCGCAGTTGGACGACGTACGGGTACCATATATATAGTAAAAATCGGCTGCCGTCTTCGGACCACTAGGTTAGCTCGCTTCCGCTCGCCAATAAACTTGGGTCCTGGGACATAAAACGATATGAAAGGGAAGGTGATTTTCTACAGTTGTTTCTATTGTTGTTGCCTCTTTGATGAATATTGTGGACACACACACACACAGTGATGTTCATCTTCGATTGTGTCATCAGACTGTACATAGTCGATCTGTTAGCAGGGAGAGGCCTGGCTTATGGAACCTTCCTACACCTCACATTGCCAGTGGATGTGTGCTGGTTGTATCTTGCCATGGCTGACGCTATATTTAGGTTCATGGATATTTTAGAACGGTGGTAAGGTTCCAATTCGATATATGTTTTAATTTTCTGTTATGGGTCCGCAATTTATTCCCCTGAGCGTCTCTCACTGTGTTCTCTTGTAGATATTCATTCCACTTCTGTAGGAACTGATCTCGCATTGTGCACATTAGTTATTCCTTAGGAAAGGCTCAAGCCATCAATCTGATGTAAAACCTGTCTGGTGAATAGTTGACAAAATCTTCCCCACCCAATTATTTCTTCTATTAGCTGCATTGTGAATGGAGAGATTTGCTGCATCTTTTAGTAGAGTGGGATTGTCCTCTGAACAAAGTCTGTCCCATATTTCAAACAGGCTTTCTTCCACCACAGATGAAGAAGAAGTTGTCCTAATTCTCCTCAGACTGCCATGGTTGTGTTGAGACCGGGAACATTGAGAAATGCTTTAGTATCCATAATTCTACTTTTTCAATGTATTTATCTTCTTCAAAACCCACATCTCACATCATAACACATGAGTGGTATGCATAATATCTCATAGAGTTTGAGCATTACAGGACTGGTGGATGTTCAGACTTGATATAGGTGTAACAGTGGAAAAGAAGCAGCTTTCGTGCTTGTTGGGAAATGTGTTTTCTTGCCTATTGAATTTACCATCTTTTTGAGAACCATGACTCCAGGTACAATATTATGTCTGTACTGTTTGTCAAGATGAAAGTCTTTCAAAGAAGAAATGGCCGCCTGATACCTACCTGCTTCTTCCAAATATACAGTATGTTTGCTTTTTCTGTATACGCGCACCCACCTACCTACCCGATTTCCTCATTAGTTTTCCATTTCCGGCAAAATGACAGTAGAGAGCTTCTTAAGATGTTTTTGGAGGCCTGATGCACTTTGGGATAGCACTTACCTAGTGCGCACCAAAAGACAAAGACCACTTTGCCATAGACGCTCTAATGAACACGCTAGAGCGTGTGTGGCCGATGGGTGGAGTTAGCCTCTCTTGCATATATAGTGTAAGCTGAGGGGCTACTTAGCTCCACCTCCGTGCTAGATTAGCCGTGTATTACCCCACAAGGGGAATTCCATCAACTAACTCCACACTAGCACATGTGGTACGATCCCACAGTGGAGCTTTGGCTCTGAGCCTTAGACGCCTATCAGTAAAGGGCGTTAGGGTGGGAAGAGAAAGACTAAGTGACTTAGGCCGATACGCCGGCTAGCACTCTTCAGAAACTACACGTAGGCCAGCATTGACGTGCAGATTTATCCTGAGCCCGCTCCGCCGCTCCAGACCTCCTACTGTCTCTGCGCGTGCGTCGTGACTGACCTGCCCGGTGCCCCGGCCCCTGTGTGTCTTCTATGTTAACATCCGTAATGAGCTTGAACTCATTTAACGCTCAGTGCGCACAAAACAACAGACCACTTGCCATAGGGACGCTCTCTTAATGAACACTATAGAGTGTGTGGCCGATGGTGGAGTAGCTCTTGCATATATAGTGGTTAAGCTGAGGGGCTATAATTAGCTACTCTCAGCTAGATATAGCTTATTATATTACACCCACAAGGGGAATTCCATCCATCCTCCCAAAGCGTGACACTCTTCCTGACTTTAAACTCCTCTTTTTACCACCGCTACCTCTCCACGCCATGGCCACACGCGTCGTGGTTCAACTGAAAATGAAATGAGCCTCATGAAAGTCTCGCAACACAGTTGTCCTGGTTATAGCTGGCGTCCTAGGCGTCTTGAGTAGGCTGCGAGTGCTCTCTTGGGTCTTGATATACAGCTGATACGCGCTGTCTTCATCTGCCAAGCATTTTAATGGTGGCGTCACCGATTCTTGTTTCGCAGCTGTAGTGGCGGGCCCCACTCCTGAAGCTATGCCCCAGAGTAAGGGGAGCAGTCCACCCTGCTGAGATTAGAGCTTCTTTCATCCTTGCCACGAACCTTGCTCGGGTAAGAGGCTTTCCATCACTAAACCGAAAGAAGGGGCCTGGACCTGAGCCCCTTTCCACCATGTAGGCTAACACTGCTGTGACTGGGCATAAACTGTTATCTGTTCTTCCAACAAATATGTCCACCCCCAGCCTAAAGGGGTCTGTCTTGGATGCCTTTATCCGCTACCTTTAACAGTCGGGAGTCTTGGAAACTGTCCACAGCTACATCCTTGAAGGAAAGGTGTGCTCCCTCATCAAAAGTCGCGTCTGATGGGACTGTTATCTCCCCAGAGCGCAGAAACCCAAAGAAGCACAACGATGCTGCTGCCCATAACATACTGCCATCGGGCTGTGAGACCCATATCCCTCTCAACTTGGCTAACAGTTCAGGTGTAACAGGGAGCCTTGCTGTTCTCCTTAGCGGCTCCTTGGACTGCACTGATTTGACACCCTTGAGCACTTGCTCGAGCCTAGCCATGTCACATACGAGAGGGTCTCCGAAGCCCTCCGCTATATGGAGGTGACGCACCGCTGCGAGGTAGCACTTGATAGTACCGTGGCATAGCTTTTGACTTGCTAAAAATTAT